TTTTGTAATATTATATTCTAATTGTAATATTATATTATATTTTTTTTATAATATTATTATTTTACAAAATATCTTATATTAGTTATATAAGAGACTTTTAAAAATTAAATTTCTTAATTAAAATTATGTATTTTTTAATATATCAATGCAATATTATATAAAATTATATATTGCTTACATTATTTATATATTTATATTATAAAAAACTATAAATCATTTATTGTAAAAAATTAATTTAGATTAATTTAATTTATTAGATTAACATAAATTTTAATCTTATTCTATGAAAGAAATTTACATTAAATAACCTAATAATTTTTTATAAAAAAATAACAATGTACATTAATATATTAAAAAATACAAAATTCCAAATAAAAAAAGGAAATTGATTTTCATATGTTCTATATGTTATATATTCTCTTGCAAAACAATTAATAACACTAAATTGTTTTCTTCTACACTATGTAACTTTTATATAAAACACTTTTCCATACAATAAATAATTTATAAATTATTTGATTATGTGATTTTCTTCTTTCTATTTTCATATTTTTCTTATTTCTTTTTATTTTATTTTATTTATTATGTTTTATTAATTTATCTTTTATCATGTCTTTTTTCTTTCAATCAATTTATTTTTTATATATTATATATGTACAATTTATATATTATAATATTTCATTTAATCGTTAAATTTTCTATATTTTTGTTAATTATTGTTTTCCTAATTTTTTCTAATAACACATATATCACTTAACAATATTTTATATTTTATTTAATGATAAATTTTATTTCCTAAAAAAATTACTGATTATAGTTGAAAAGTATAAAAAAGTAATAAAAATATATATTTACCTAACTCTATTGACACAACCTTGATGCTTTATTGGTGCAATAGACATTTTTGGTTTATTTTGATCTTCATCATTTAATTCATCATCATCTGATTCATCATCAGAATCATCCTTTATATCATATAAATTTTCCATCTTCATAATAAGAAGATTATTAATATGTGTTTTAGCAGCTTGAGTTCCAGCCACAAGATACATGCTTAATGGATAATTTTCTCTATTATTACCTAAATTATCTAAAATTATATCAAAACTAAGACAAGGAGCACCAGATTGTGCATGATGTAACATTCGATACGCTGTTTTATCCACTACAAGTTCTTCTTCCTTTTTCAAAGGCTTTCCAGGAAGATATATTTTTTTTTCTTGTACTTCATCATTTTTTGTAGAATCTTCTTTGTCACTATCATTGCTATTTTCTTCCATATTCTCATCAATCTCTTGCAGCGATTCACATTCCATTTTTTTTTTAAAATTTCTTTATGCAATATATATATATATATAGATATATATATATATCTTTATTATATCTTAAAAAGAATAGTAAAAAAAATATTTGAATAATCAAACTTTTATAAAAAAAAAATTAACCTAACCTTATATAGAAAATAATATAGCAATATATAAAAATATAATAAATATTTTCTCATATTAACATTTATCAAAACAAATCTTTTAATTTAATATATTATTTAAAAAAATGGGATATTGTAAAAAATTTAATAGATTAAAATTAATAGATTTTTAGAAATTTACCTCTTTGTAATACCAATGCACGTGATGTCAACGTCCGAAAACGCAAGGTCTATACATATATATGAAACTATGAAACTGAGTACTTTGCTTAAATTTTTGGAATATTCTTTCATTGCATTTTATTGGCAATTTTTTGTGCAAGTTAATATGGAACAATAAAAATTAATGACATTAATAATAATGAAATTATAATAACATTTAACTAATAACATTTGAAAAATTATAAAAAATTTAAAAATAATTACAAAAAATGAAATTTAAAAAATTCATGATACAATCACATATTTATATTTCATTTTACAATAGTTTTCATACTAATGTCTTTTAATGACATATACAAAGTAGTTTAAAATAAAATGCTACAAACTGTTTTCTCAGAAGACAAAATACAAAATTAATCTTGTATGTAACAAATTTTTCTAAGATAAATATTAAGGAAAAAAGAGAATATTCTAATTTTTATAGATAGATTTTTTTTAAATGATAAGTATTAATTTTTTGTTCTTTAGATGATTCTATTTGGTAAATTTTTTTATTAAATTGAATAATATATATAAAAATATGATAAAATAATTAATATTTTTTATTTTTGCTTTTTTTTCGTTTTAGTAAATTTCTTTCAAAAAAAAAAATTTTTTTCCATTATTATAATTATGTATAAAATAAAAAAATAATGCAATTAAATGTTATTTAATTGATAAAGTTATCTAGGAAACAAAAATATATAATCTTTCATTTAAAAAATTTAAAGAGACTTTCTTTTTTTCTTTAAAAATTACCTAAAAAATTTGTTGCACTAAAGAATTAGCCATTATTTAATTCAAGAAAAAAATGAAGTTAATATCTTCACTTCTTTTGAGAAAACAGTTTGAAATAGTTTATTTGGACCATTCTATATAGAGAAAAATTTTATTTTTTTTAAATATATAATTCTAAACAATCCTTACTATAATTTTTGAAAAGATTCAATCTGTAAACTATTAATCATAATATGTAAAATATGTAAAATGTTGTAATTGTAATACGAACAAATTCAAAGCATAATCATATACCAATAATATACCAATAAAATTTTTTTTTCAAAACAAATTCTTGAAGTACAGATATGTGTTTCATTATGAGATTTTATAATATTCTTTGAATATATTTAAACAACATGAAAGAAATATTCTAATTATGGAACTTCTTTTTTTACATAAAACACCATCCACTTTACGTATGAAAATTATATACTTATTTATGTATGAAATATTTCCTTAAAATTATAATAAAAATAAGAACTAAGTTAAAGAAACTGCTCCTTTATGGACCAGTTTTTAATTAATTTATATGAATAAATATAATATTAATGATAAGAAAAAAAATAATAATTGCAATTGATGATGATGAAGATGATGAAGATGATGAAGATGATGATGGTAATGGTGGTGATAATGATAATGATAATAATAATGATAATAATGATGACGACGATGATGATGATGATAAAATAATAATAAAATAATAATAAAATAATAATAACAATAAAAATTAATAATAATAATAATAATAATAATAATAATAATAATAATAATAATATAACAACAACAACAATAATAATAACAATAACAACAACAATAACAACAACAACAACAACAACGATGATAATGATAATGATAATGATAATGATAATAATAAGAATAAGAATAACAACAACAATAATATTAATATTAATATTAATAAAAATAATAATAATAGTGTCTGTAGTATAATAATAGTATTAATAGTAGAATAGCAATATTAATAATAATAGTAGTAGTAATAGTAATAATAATAGTAATATATAATAGTAGTACTAGTAGTTATAGTAACAAGGTCCACCGAGATTATATTATAAATAAAAAAGATTAAAGAATGGAAAGAAAAATAAGAAAAAGAGAATGTACATTTTAAATATAAAATATAACTTTTTTAATTGTTATAACTGAATATGAAAGAAAAGGAGCAGTAACAAATATCAAACATAATAGCAATTATTCACGCAAATGGATGGTATTTAATATTAGCTATGTTTGTTTAAATGAGAATTGTTACTAGAATTATTCATTAATTGAATAGATGTTACAGTGGTATGTGAATGATGAGATGGTGAAATATTAGGATTATGTCGAGGATTAGTATTATGGAGACTGTGTATATAAGAACGTTGGACGGGCTTGTGCTGAGCAAGCTGAAGCAAGGCCTCTGGTATAGAGAACCATTTTCGTTTTCGACCAATAGTGCGTGAGTCTTCCCATTCTGGCAATTCTTCGGTTACTCTCATAACCCATACTTGTGTTCTATGTTTGTGTTCCACATTCTAAAAAAAAATTATTTTAACAACTTTTTCCTTTATGTTCAAAATATATTAGTGCTTTCCTTGTATATTATATTTTATATGCTTTATGTATATTAAACAAATAATTACATTTTATATGAAAACATTAATACCTCAAATATACCAAGACATCTGCCTAATTGTCCTAAAACACCAGCCTCTTCTCGAACTTCTCGCAATGCTGTTACTGCAGGTTCTTCTTCCGGTTCAACACCTCCACCAGGTACTATCCAACTATCAGGTCTACGACTGGATGTAACCAAAAGTACCTATATTATAAATTAAATAAAAATTTAATTTATATCTATTTCATATTAAAAATATAATAATACAATAACTGATTTTAAAATATAGCATTAATGAAGGGAAAAATATCAAGTGCCATCTGCTGGCTTACCTCATCTTCAAGATCGTTTTTAACGCAGATACATGCAGCTCTACGTCTATAACCTTCTGAATCGTAAATACGGATTGAATTTGGTTTTTCCTTGACCATGATCAATTATTAAAGTTACAAAATTATTCCATAAATTCATATTTGTCAGACGGCCAGATAGGCCAATCTGTATGCTTGCATTATTTTAACGTTATTTGAAGCCGACATATCATCGACATAGAATTAGTCAGTGAGCTTTAATTCACATAATTAATTTAATAGTCTATCTTTCGTCCGAATGAAAGGACGACTTTTTACCTAAACTATGCTATATCACGATAATGTTGTCCTTGTAGAAAATTGCTATAACCTCAAAACTTTTAAAGTATTCAGACAAGTAACTCCATCTGGTCTATATTTTCAACATACGAATAAAGAGTGATTATTTAACTATATTTTATTTTAATCATACTTAAATTTATAACTATATATTTTATAATGAAGTAAATCTTTGAAATAATTAAATATAAATTTAAATATAAATAAAGTATATAATCGAAATTTTTCCTAAAAATATATTATTACTAAATCATTTCTATATAAATTTGTATATATATTAAAATAATTTACATTAAATTTTAATATATATTATTATTATTAAATATTACTATATATTTATTATATTACTATAATAATATTATATATTATTTTTATTGTTTCTATTCTATACATTTATTTTAATTACATTTATTAAGAAATGAAATATTTATGAATAGATTTATTTATTTCTTAATAGATATACTCAGTTACGTACATAATAATTATACAATACAAATAAATAATAAACATAATTGGCAACAT